CAAAATACCGGAGCCCCTTTTGGTACTAATTCTAAAAATGACGAAAACGTCACTAAATTGGTCATTAAATCAAAACAAGTGAACCTATTTTGATAGTTCTTCATCTAATGAATGAAATCCCGATAAAAGAGACATGTTTTCGGCAATTGACGAAAAGTAGTTCAATGTCAAAGTCGTTATAAAGGAATGTGACCGAGCCGCGGCTAACAGGTTGGTGTCTTCATACATTTGATGGCTTTACAATGATGTTCATGGGCGTCCCTGCTGTAATAATTAATTAGGCTCTTTACTGTCGAAGGCAGACGATGTGGATTAAAACCTTTCTATTACACCAACTAGTACAGTAGCATGTGGTGATGGATTTTACATAGCATAATATCTTTTCTTAGTATCCGGACTACGTCGTTATAAACTGTTGACAATGCTTCCCATTCACAACGAGGTAGTGCAAAATAAAATTAGACTTCACGTTAATATGTGAGGCTGCATGATGAAATCAGGTGCTCGTCAAAATACAGAAATCGGAGAAACGGGCATTTTTCGGACAGTTTGGACATTTTTATCAAATTTTTATTTTTGGGCTCAACCTCTTTTATGCCTACATAAAAACACATTTCTATGTGAATTTTACAGAAAAACATTGGTTAAAGGCACAACATATTACATTTTTCTATTCAAGAACTCTTTAGCTATTGGAGTTACCAAACTTTGAGTCATTTTCTCGCTAATTTCACCACTGAACTGAAACCAGGTGACCTCACTTCCTTCAATCGCAAATATCTTGAGCTCTATTCAAGATAAATGGATATTTATTTAATTGAAAGCAAGGCAAATAAATAATCTTTCTGATGATACCAATAACTCCACATGCCCAACAAATGACGAGCGCGTCGGGACACATATGTATGAAGTATGAGTTGCAGGCCAGGCCAATAGGAAGGGGTTGCAACAACATGGTGACAGTAAAGATTTTAGACTTACCAATAACACGCGACCTCAGTGTTTTCTTGTCCAATCTCCATTTTTTTAAACATTAAAAATGTGACTCCTCTAAAGCTCACTCTTTGTTAATAAACTGTTTTCACTGTTATTAAAAATGGAGACATGACAAGAAAGCACTGAGGTCGCGAACATCCTACAACCAACTGTTTGAGTGGAAGAGTCCAAGGTTCCAAAACGTTTACACAAGTTTATTAATTCTCTCTCCCTCTGTGTTCAGGTGATGTCAGAGACGCACCCTGTGAGGTTTGAGAAGTTGATCAATGGCGAGACACGCCCCCGCCTGGCACAGCCCCGCCCCGAGGGCTATAAGATCAAACACAGGGCCGTACACGTAGGTTCTTTTATGTTGTTTCTTCTGACCGGTTAACACAGCTTATGTTCTACTCTTTTTTATTATTATTATTGCCACCATTGTTATAGTTATTGTTGTTGTTGTTGTTGTTATTATTATTATTATTATTATTTGTATTATTATTGTTGTTGTTATTATTATTATTATTATTATTATTATTATTATTATTATTATTATTATTATTATTATTATTATTATTAATATTATTATTATTATTGGCATCATTAGTGATATAAATGTAGTATTAATTATTGGGAGGTGATGATGTCGTTGATGTTGTTTGCTGTTTTTTGTTGTTGTCATTGTTATTGTGACCAGCCAAATGTGAAATCGTTCTTTTTTTTAAATTTGATTGTTCGGGAAGGTGATACAGCTCTCTGCTCCCTTTGCTCATTTATATCATAAGTGGCTTCATTTTCTATACATCTGCACTAGGGTAGAAGGGCCATTGAACCGATATCGTACCATAGAAAGGGAAGTTTTTAAAAACCTTTTCTGATGTGTTTTTTTCGGCCTTTTGTTTGTTTGTTTGTATGTCTGTCTGTGTATTTGTTTGTTTGTTTTTTTGTGTATTTGTTTATTTGTTTGCTTGGGGTTTTTTTGTTGCTGTTGCTGTTTGATAGTTCTTTTTTTAATAGTTTGTTAGCTTTTTATTGTTTTGGCTTTTTGTTTTTAGTGGAGGGTACTATAAGTCTTCTGTTAGTTGTTTCATAAGCGCATGTTTGAGGAAATTGTTAGATTTCAATTATGTCAGGAAACGATTACTGCATTAGCGTTTTCCCTAAAATTGTTGTGATCTCTTATATATTTGTTTTCCCTGCAGACTCCCAAAGACAGAAGAAGCGCGTCTGCCAAAGTCAAAGTGGTGTACATTGACCCTTTGTCCAGGGAGGAAGAGGAAAAGGTCAACCGGATGTCGGTGGATGAAATCGTCAACTTTCAGGTCGGTGGAATGAGCCGCGAAGGTACGGCCGCGTCCATCCACAGAGCTTTCCAGGAGAGCGAAAGCGCCGGCGGTATTATAACGGTCAACGAAGAGACAGACGGGAGCCTAAGGCCGTCTAGGGTGACCAGCTCAAAGGCCTCTCGACACCACAACAGCCGGCCGAGCTCTAACTACAGCCAGCACAGCGAAAAAAGCGGAAGCGTCTCGGGACCCAAGCTCAAAACACTTCCGGTTCACCCCTCGGCGAACCAACAAGCAGCAGATCTCGGTATAATCTCCTACGGTGCGAGAAACCATCCACCAGTCAACGAAATGCCGAGAGCGGCGGCGAAAACTCCGGGTAAAATCAGCCCTGTGAAGCCGTTACATCGCGCTGGTGCGGGCCAGGGAAGCAGCATCAAAGCGGGACCGATGCCAGGGGAGACGGAGTTTATCAAAATCACGTCTCAGTTGAAGGTGGCCAACCCGAGTGGCGGTATCCCCACGCCGCCGGGACAGGCCGGTGCTCCGGCAGGCTCTTTCCCCCACTACCAATTCTCCCCCGGAAGTAACACACCCAGAGATCCCGACTATCAGTCAGACGTCTACCAAGTGGACAACGTCAGCGAAGGCAGAGACCTCGCCGAATTTGACAATAATAATCCTAAATTCTCCTCCAGGAATGTCACACCTACTTTACACAAAGACGGGAATATCAGTAATAGATCTAATAATAATAACGCCTCTAACAGCGCAAGGAACAACTTGTCCGCCGAGAAAGCCGATGGTGAGAGAGACGAGGCTGGACAAGAGGAGAGGAGGGAGGAGGAGAAGGAGTTGTTGGCGGGTAGCGTCACCTCGGAGTCTCCCGGCCCCACCGCCGTGGCCATCAGTATTCCTACAGCGGACGAGTTGTCTGACTCCCCGGGACATTCGCCCGTCAGACGCCCCGACGACGGACTCACGCAGAAACAGCGACGTGAGAGGGACATGACGAACGAGCAGATTGATCAACTCACACACTTGATAGGCGACGCCATCGTCGAGTCGTAGGGCGCGCTCTTTTGTATTTAAAAGTAAAAGTCTTTCTCTTAATCAATTCAATATAATAAATGTGCTGTGGGTTTCAGTAAGACCGACATCTTGCGTAGTCTTATTGACAGTTGATAGCGTCTGAGTCCCTCGCTGGTAACCAATCTTTTCTCTTCCAGTGTTTATACACCCACAACGACACACGTTTGGTCATTTAGGAGGTGGGCTTTGTGCCTACCTGTCAAGGTCAACCGGGGCTGAGAGAGATACATTGTTACAGCAGATAGACCGAGATACTCTATAAAAAATTTCCCCATACGAGAATCAAACTCGGGTCTTCTACGTTGCACAACAAAGCACCAGGATGCTACACCACAGATACACAAGTCCCCTGTATTTCACACTGTGGCCTGAAACTGTAGATTGAAAAGTACAAGCCAGCCGAGGAAGCTGTTGTGAGGTCTCGTGAGTTTTGCTCAGAAGATTAACACAATACTGTAAACTCTCCGTTTTGAAGCAAGTGAATGAAATCTGTATAAAATGTGTATCCATCATACATAAAACTTTGAGCTAACGTTTCCATCTCCGTCTGACTAGCGACCAGCACATCATCATGGATTCCTCCATCTTTTTTTTTACCACCCCCTACTTCATTTAAAGAATATATTTTGGCCAGTGATTACGGGAAGACTTACAGCGCTGAAAGAACCGCGTATTTCTCCTTCTCTTGATAGTTTGTATTTTCAAGTATGAACAAAAACGTCCCCCCCCCCCCTAAGTTCATTCCGGAGAAAGTGTCTTTTTTTCAAAATAGGTGTTGAGGATAACAGAACTTTTCAATTCTCTGAAAAAACCAACAGAAATGTTGCGTTTGCGTCTAACTAAAATGTTGTATGTTTTTCAGTAGTTGCATTATAACACAATAGCTCGATTTTCTGAGAGTGTACGTTAGACAGTGTGATGAGTATTTGCGGAATGGGAGTTAAATCTTAACCCAGAATAATTGTGAAATTTATCATGAGCTTGAGGATGACATGCTTATTTGTGTAAATGGTTTATGGGTTTATGAGTTGATTATAAGTCTTTAGCATCTCAAAATGTTCTGTCGTCCTCAGAATAGAACAGCCCGTTAATGAGGGTAGAAAATAGGTTGTCTTTCTTTGCTGTCAACAGTCTGTCATGAACGACATAAACGGTCCTCTGGTTTGCTCTGGTCCTGTTGTGGAAGCAAATAACAAACACGGACAACAGTGACGTGTGCACACTGCTTACGTGTCTCATTCTGGTCAGCGTCAGTTCGTTGTTCAGAATTTTGGTAAAAAATTGGAAGCGACCTATAAATACAAATTTTGAGTGGTTGGCGGGCGCTCTGATATGGTTTGCTCCTTCTTTTCTATCAAACTTCTATCGTCCTTGTTAATTTTTTCTTTTTTTGTTTGTTTATTACTCTCTAGTAAGGCCTCTAATTTTTTACACTTTTTATTATGACCCATTTGTGTTGCAAGTGCCGTAAAACTCTTACTAAAACTGGCCTATAAATTATGAATTGAAATATATTATAATATGTGTCTAATGACACTAAATCATGAACATTTTCTCTTTTTTCTTGGATTCTATTGTTATCTTTGATATCAATTTGCATAGATGTATAATTCTTTTTGTTAATGATTTGGTCTCCAAGTACATTGTTGTATATGCCTCTGACATAATTCATGTAAATGGTTTTTGTTTTGTTCGTTTTTTGATAGTCTACATTTATTAGGTGCATGAATTCCAATTGCCATGGTCGTATTTGTTGATTGATATTTTTTAAGCTGCGTCTCAAATGCTAAACCATTGTCTCATTTTAATTTATTTTCCTATTTTGTATTTTAATGAATTGTTAAGTTTATTATGGAAGACAACAAACAATGACTGTGATATTTTGTGTCATAGCCTGGAGAAAACAAATAGACAAACTGAAAGTTCATTCAGCTTTACACAAGTTTGTTGCTCAAAAATATGTCTCAGTCTTCTATACATAACATTAATTGATACAAGAAGATCATGACAATAAAAATATTTTAAAACACCGTTGTCTTATTTTATATTCTGCTTATTTAGACACACGCACCAATCCGCACTTAGCTGGCTATATGTTAAGATTGATGGAGCTCTTACATCTTACATCAGCGCGCAAACATTTTTTAAGTTTAAGGATTGCTCTGGCACTTTAAGAAGCTGTTTGGTAGTTTTCAAAGCACTATTCCCTGGTTAACACTAAGTCATGTAACTATTGTAGGTGTAGATGCTTTCCCCTCACATCGACACATTTAGACCATAATATAAGATACAGATTGCTTAACCCTGTTGTTTGGGTTACATGGAGCTGAGATCTATTCAACATCTTAGAAGACAGATGGAGGTACTCGATAAAAATTCTCCCCACACTGGAACAGAACTCATGTTTTCTGCATGTGACAGCAAAGAGCCTAACCTCTACACCACAGGCGCCCGTCCACCCCGCAGAACAAGTATTTGCCCATCGGTTTCACAGAGATCATTAACTTGATTCAAGGTCATCCCTAGGATACATATTATCGTTGAGCTGTCGTAAGCGGTGAAACTGCACTGTATCTTTCAGAGATCAGTATAACAGTAACACCGAAAACAGTTTTTAAACTATGGAATTGTAGACATTTTACGCCCCCATCAACACTATTTAGATCCGTCAGGAGGGGAACTTCTTCGTCTCTACTTGAAAAGAACAACCCAGGCTGAGAGGGATACAAACGTCTTAGTAAAAAGTCGGAAAGTCCATAAAAATTCCACCAACACGAAAATCGAACTCAAGTCTCTTGCGTGAGATCGCAACGCGCCTAACTGCTACATCACAGACGTCGGTTTTGAAAACTGGCAAAAGGAGAAGACGGTATACAATACGTCAACTAAGTGTAGTAATCAGCTACATGGCTTGTGTATAACTGGTACTTTTCAGGCATTATGAAACCGAAATAATAAATTGTGACCAAATAAATTAATGAGGTATTGGAATTCAAAGGATTGGAGAGAACAGCAGGTTTTTATTGCACATGGCTGCCCAGATCAAGCAAGGTTACAGTTTTATCTTACAAAGCATATTATCCTTTCCATAAAAGCAACAAAGCAATTATAGATATACATGTATAGACAAACTATTGAGAGCAGCTTTCAGAAAGTCAGTATTCTTTCTTTGACGTCACTGTTCCTAAATTTATGGCCCAAAAATTAACTTCCAAGACATTTGAGAGAAGGAGGTGGAGGGGGGTGGATTGGTAAATGTTGTGAGCTGTAACTGCCATTGCAATATCATTATTACATGACTAAGTTTATGTATGATAATGCTACGCTTAGATATGAAGCGGAATTATTAAAAAAAACCAATATCACAACTATTCTAAACAAAAGCTGAACATCACACAGAAACTTATATTGACCATAACGACACACGTTTCACACAATGTCACAAACAAGATAATTTTAATTTAATTTTACATATTTTATTCGTGATTTTTTAAATGAGATCATGGAAACGATTCACTTCCAAAGAGGATGGGTTCGAACTTCCACAAATCCGGCATGCCAAAGTGAGACATGTTCACGTTGGTGTTGCTCCACTGGAAGGCTGGCACGTCGGTGTAGGTGGGGCCGCCCACCGCGGAGAAGGACATCTTTCTGAACAGTTCGAAGCTGGTCACCTTAGCGTCTATGCCCGCGTGGCCGTGGAAGCTGAGCGCGGGAAACGGGTAGGTGCCGTTTGGTAGGTTCAGGTCTGAGCGGGCAGACACGGCGTTCTCGGCGCTGTACGGAGGGTTGCAGTCACACCTGGGAAAATAGTTTTAGTCAAGTTGAACGGTTTTTGCAACACTAGTATGTCATATAAATGCCGAGGGCTCCCGTGGTTTAGAGGTTCGGTGTTCGCCACCTCTCGTTCAATAGGTCCCGGTTTCGAAACCTGACAGCGACGGAAAGTTTTTTTTCTCTAAAATTGTATCCTCCCCCCGCCTTTCCATGTTCTCTTGTCACGTTCGGTCATTCTGCTTTCATACCCCCCCCCCCTCCCTACTCCTCTGGGCTCCTCTCTCCTTTACTCCTGACTCTGTCTACTTCTACATCTGGCTACTTCCTAGAGTTATCTTTCTGCCACACTCTTTATCTTAGGGGGTTCCCATTAGCGCCATTGGGTCGCGTCGTTCGGGTTGGGTCGTTTTATGGGGGTTTCAGTACACACTACAACCCCGCTGCGATTGTACCCGATGGCTTCTAGGACTCCTTTCCTCAGTTCCCTGTTGCAGTGCTGCAGCCGCTTGGAATCCCATAAACATGGGTTACATCTATAACTTTCTATTATCAAAGATCGTTCAAGGCAAGATATTTCACTAGGCCTAAAAAGAGTCCGCTGAAGTCCGCGCATTGCTTTAGATGGCACTGCAGTATTTGTTTTGAAGCTCTCTTTCGTTTCTCCAGAAGAAAAATAGGAATAGCACAGTTTGTCAGTTTCGCTTTTATTGTTTCTCACACAAGTAAGGTAACTCTGTTCGCAAAGTCCGCACTTTTTCGAAGAAGGCGCAACCGGATTTTGAGGTTGCACAAGGACACGTGACTTAGCCTTGTCGTGATTAGCTGTAAACCACCCGATCGCGCGACTCGAAGACCGGAAAACAAACGGGTTCACCGACCGAGTTGATCGGTTTGTACCACAATGGCCGCTTTGCGCCCACACTTTGGCTAGTCCCGATTATCAAATCGACCCGACCCGACCCGACTTGGCCCGATCGCGCTAGTGGGCACCCTTTAATAGGGCAGGTAAGATCTGACGCCTAGATTTCTCAGAAAAGGGGGGAAAAATCTCAGAGATCATGTGCGCAAGCTGTGCACGCTAAAGATCCCTTGTTAGTCATCAACTCAACAAGAGTAGGCTTCAGCCGCCACCTGGGCAAAATTCAAAATTCAAATCAAAACTTAAAATACTCTAGTCAGTATAAAAACATGTAGATTACCTTCAAAACCAGAATGTGGCTGCCTGAAAGCAAACGGCCCAACTAAATAGGAAAAAAAACCCCACATATTATGTAAAAATCAGTTGCACTGCAGGTTGAAGAACCAGCAGGCGACTACCCCTGAGATCCAGCAGGTAATCCAAAGAAGAAGAAGACATGGGTGTCGAAGAGTAGATGTTCATTAATTCGTTAACTACATTTTAAAAAGACAATTGAAATCAAATAGTTAAAGACTAATTTATTTTTAAAAATTAATGTATTCTCCAGTACAACGTCAAAGGTTCAAATGCGCAATTAATCAAGAAATCAGTCGACGCAGAGTGTCCTATATCAGGGAATCCGTCCAGCTCTAAGGTCTTCGTCTCCGACTCACAACTCACCTGGCCAGAGGGTCCTTGGTGAAGTCGTTGTACCTCATGAGCGCCATCATGGACGGAAGGTCCTTCACCTTGCCGTGGTCACGTCTGTAAATCTTGGCTCTGGGATGTTCCTCGTAGTCCCACCAGTCTCCCCACTTCTCCACCAGATCTCCGAAGCCTGCCTCTTTCCAAATCCTGGAGAACACAAAATAGCGATTGATAATTGAAAAAAAACCCAACAACAACCCCAAACAAACAACAACATGAGCGGTCAACACCCCTTATAATACTGTTAGTTAATGTATGACGCGAGACCTCTGAATTTAACAACTTTCTCTGGTAAGACCAAACCAAATGGGGAAAATTCATGTAAAGAGCCTTTTCTTAGGATAGCTTCGTTTTCTATATCTGTTCTCTAGATTTTTGAAGAGGAAGTCGTTTGGTATTGTCTTATCTTCTTTGCGTACTAACAAAGAGACACAAAACACCTACACAGAAATCTAACCCCGTTTTGAGGCAGGATAATTTATATGCTGCCTTCCTCGTAGCATGGAGCCAAAAATATAGGACGACTCTCATGGCAACAAATTATTTTCTAAAGTTTCAAATAGGTACATTAAAGATAGTCCAATAAAGTAGAGAAAAGAAAGATAAAACTTGTTCTGGGTGTTGACATCCGTAACCAGCTGAAAGACAAGAAAATTTTAAAGTGTTGTCAATGGAAAAACCATCCAATTCCTACAGCATGAAAAAGTTCTCAGGAGTATCAGGTATCGAATGGTGCCTCTAATGCCACACAGAACCTTTCCTCTTCGATGAAATCGCATCGTATAATATACACTGCACAACCTCCGATCACTGAAAAAAAAGACTTACACGTCGTTGTAGGCAATGTTGTAACTGCCGAAGAAGCCATCTGAGTAGAGCCTCTCTGTGACATCCTCGGAAGCCACGAGCCCAGGGATCTGTTCTGTGACGTAGACCATGCCAGGGGGCGCCTGCGTGCCGCCGGGGACGAACATTTTGTAGTCGACGATCACGTATTGATTGTTGTAGGTGCCGCTGTTGCGCGCCGCGAAGATATCCGTCCAGCCCTTGGAAGTTACAGCAAGTCTGGGAGATGGTAAAAGAAAACCCCCCACAAATCTTTTACTTTCCGCAACGACACAAACTTAATCTTTTAGAAAAATAGCTGCTCCCCGATCTGAGTGGAATACAGCATCCCAGAGGGGGAATAATGGATAAAATAGATTTCCCGTTTAGGAAACTGAACGAACTTTTAAATGCAGTTTAATGCTATGGTCAAGGTTTACAATTTTCTTGCTTTCCATGATTCCTGATAGGAACAAAGAACCAAAACTATTTCTTGTCTCTTGTATAAATTAATAGTGCTCAAACGGACTTAAGTGGGTTGCTTGTGACACCGACGAAGTGGATCAGATAGGATGAGCAAGTAGAGCAGACAGATAGGAGAAAGTAGAGGAGATAGAAGCAAGTGGAGCAGACAGATAGGAGAAAGTAGAGGAGATAGAAGCAAGTGGAGCAGACAGATAGGAGAAAGTGGAGTAGATAGAAGCACGTGGAGCACACAGTTTACCTGTTGGCAACAGTGACCCTTGCTGCCTCAAGCACAGCCTCTGGGGTCACAAACTTCCAGAGGTTGTCGTTGTAGTTGCCGATAGTTGTCTCCAGAGACATCAGGCCAGAACTCAGCACGTAGAAGTCATCGCCTGAGCTGGTCACCGCAGGGTACGAAGAAAAACCCTTAAAAAAGTAAGTGCATGGGTTTAACATGGAATGGTGGTATACTTTATCTTCCCCATAGTATTCCTATATGGCGTTGAGACCTGGACTTTCACAAAGAAAGAAGAAAGACTTTCACAAAGAAAGAAGAAAACAAAACAACTGCGTTTTAGATGTGGTGCTACCGCAGAATGGCCAGAATAAGCTGGAAAGCAAAAAAGACTAACATTGAGGTGTGTCAAACTCTCTACACAAGACAAACCCTGCTTAACAAAATAAAACGTACAAAATACAATACTTTCGTCACTTAAAACGACACAAGACCATTATGAAAGAGGTGCTTGAAGGAAAGATATGGGGCAGGAGAGTGAGAGGAAGGCAAAGAATAACATGGATGGACAACATTAAAACATGGGCTGGCCTGGATATACCAGAACGAACAACGGCAGCTCGCGACCGTGAAGGATGGAGGGTCATTACATGTCAACCTCTGAGTCAGAGATGGCACTTCCAGGATATCCAGGACGGGTTTAACGCCCCTTTCAACACTATGGTTTTGGACTTTTTAAAGGAGAGGCGGGACCTCCGAATTTAACGTGTGTCTCCGATAATGACATGCCAATTTGATGGATTGAGAGCATTGAAAACTCCACAAAACGACTCGAGTTCAGGAACTCCTAGTCTAGTATTCGAACTAGTACTATTTGCTCCTTAGTCCAGCATGATATGAACTGAGCAAACGGGGCTTTTTTAAAAAGGCTGAAAACGTTGGAGTTTTGGATAAAGAGAAGCACAAAGAGTAAAAAAGTTTAGTGCTTGATAAAAAACATCAACAAAACAAAACAAAAAGAAAAAAAGACAACAAATAAAAATATGACATACGGGCATTGTATTCGACACAGAAAGTTGGAGTTGTTAATGAACCCCCCCCCCCCCCCCCCCACACACACACACACGGGAATCGAACTCACGTCTTCTGCGTGAAGTCTGCAGTCATACAAACATGACAGAGAGGGAGAAGAAAGAAGTTCTTTAAAAACCAATGCGATATGTTGTAAATGGGAAGATAAATCTGAATCTTACAGAATAGCGCTCGTCAGCCTCACGCTTTCAAGAAGCCATAAGAGATATTTGTACTCATGTTATGTTGTTGTTATCGATCCAGCAACAGCTGGACATTTGTACTCATAAGTTGTAAGACTTCGTAATTCATTTTGATGCATCATAACTAATAGGCGAAAACAATTCCAATTCAGTTTACTGGTCGCATCTCTTCATATATTTTTAATAAATACTGCCCTACTTAAATATGCGTAATACTATTCATTTTCAAGTCACACTCACCTTAAAAAAAACTTACAATGTTGCTAGGGGCGTTAAACCAACTCAAGTTCATAATTTCCAAGTCCCACAATTACTACCATTTCCCTATTCTATTCGGTTTCCCACTTCTGTGATGAGGTACCTACCTGTTGATAACCTGGGATTTTCTCTTCTGAGGTGGCGTTGACCCTGAAGTTGAGCTCATACATTTTCAGCACACGCAGCATGGTGTTCAGATGAGACCACGTGACCTGTGCAAAAAGTTAATTTTCAGGCTGTTGATGACATCAGTATGCGAGCTTATATTTACTGTCGTAGGTAGTGACAATAGCTACATTGATAAAGATAATGTCAACAGCTACACTAACATATACAAACAACAATGGTTACACTGACATAATACATAATAATGATAGCTACATTGGCATATAAAGAGACAATAGTTTCATTGGTATATAAAGAGACAATGGTTTCATTGGTATATAAAGAGACAATAGCTACATTGGCATAAGGACAATAGCTACAAGATAGGACATACCACCATTTACAACGAATATAAAAATTGCAAAGTTGTATAGGTTTAACCCCCTTTCGACACAGTCAAGAATCAGGTTGTTTAAGAGGCGGGACCTCGGAATGTAACGTCCTTCTCCTCTGATAGACCCAGCCAAATGGATGGAGCGCCTTAAAGGCCCCTCGTCCCTCAACTCCCCCTCCCCTTTTTCCCCAAGTTCAAAACACCCATTTGGGAATTTGATCTAGAGCCATCCACTCTGTGGTTCAGCATGGCCCTTACTGAGCAAACGGCGCCACAAATGATATGCTTATAAAAAAATAATATACTGACTTGTGAGGAGAAGAGTTCCTGATAGCCTTCGGTCAGTTTGATGAGGCCAGAACAGTGGCCGGGTCCTGGAGCGGAGATCTTGTCGGTCCTTTCAGAGGGGTCCTTGAGGGCTTCCATCAGGTCCTCGATGTCACCTCCGACCTGGTAAATGAAGGTTGGCGTTTTTTATACACTATTGATACAATTTAGATAATCTAGGAAACGAGTTTCGACCCTGTCGGACAGGACCAGTCCAGGTTCAGAGGGATACACCATCCCAGCAGAAAGACCACGAGATACACGATAAAAATTATCTAAACATGGGAACTGAATTCGAGTTTTCTGCGTGTGACTGCGACGTACCGAACCGCTACACCACAGACACCGGGTTTCTATCGACCTACAGTGAGAACAATAAATCCATTCTAGGATCCTGAGCAGCGGGTCAAACTAGTAAATAGAGGGTACGCAACGGAGTTCCGTAATGTACCTAAAGCATAAGGCAAAATGCTTGGTGAAAGTAAATACAAAACAACATCATCATCATCCGGTGCCTTGCCGACTGGCATGGGCGATCATGGACCTCCACTTCACTCTGTCTTGCGTTGCAGCAATGGTGTCTGTTGTTTTTGCTGCTCCTAGCCATGTTGTCATCTTGTCAAAACAACAACAAACAGGTAAAGCCTTCAATGACCAACCCTCTCAGACAAAATAAAAAGTGTTGCTATGAACCATGACGAAAACATGGAAAAGAATGCTCATTACTGCGGTTAAAAAATACTCTTCCAACTCTTTACAACCACATTTTGAAGCTGAAAATGTTATTGTGCTTCCAGTTCATATTGTGTATTCCCTGAACCAACCTGCATCAGATAAACAATTCCGAAAGTGTGGATGTCAACCTCCTTCTCGTGGCGGCTGTATGAAACTTGACCTTGGTTCTCGAAGGCGTCCTGTATACCCATGATCTGTACCAGGTACAGGTAGAACTGGTACCAGAACGAGTCAGGGTTATGAAAGTTATCCTTGGCATAAGCAATGTTGTCGTCGAGGAACTTCTTTAGTCTCAGGCACAGCTCTGAGTATGGCTGAAAGAGGAAATTAAAACATTTCACTGATATTGATAAAGAAGATGGTATGGAGAAGAGGGGAAACAGGGGATGGGAACAGGGGAGGAGGGGGAGGGGGACAATAATATGTTAGGACGATTTTGGATACGTACGTATAATTGCAAATTATGTCTTTTACGTATAAATTCACAAACTTTGGAAAAGTTAGCAGGGGGTGGA